GCTTGCATGATGGTCTGGGCTGTGCATAAAACTTTCTGTAGTTTCTTAAGATCCTGGGCAGAGCAGTTGCTGTACCAGGCTGCAATGCACCCGGATAGAATGCTTTCTATGGTGTATCTGTAGAAGTTGGTGAGGATCCTTATGGACATGCTGACTTCCCTGAGACGCCTGAGGAAGAAGAGGCATTAAAAACTGAAAGAACTGCAGACGCTGTAAATCAGGAACAAAAACAAAGTTCTGATAAAGCTGAGCAGGTCTGGTAGCATCTGTGAAGAAAAAATCAGAGTTAATGTTTTGGGTCCAGTGACCCTTCCTGAAAAGAGGCATTGTTGTGCCTTCTTGACCGTCACAGCTACACGGGAGGACCAGGACAGATTGTTGGTTATCGTCACTCCTAGGAACCTGATGCTCTCAGCCCCGTTCATGTAGATAGGGGCTTGACCACCTCCTTTCTTCCTGAAGTTTTGCTGACTGAGGGAGAGATTGTTATCTTTTTGTAATCTTTATACCATGCCACCAAGCACTCTATCTCCTTCCTATATTCTGACTCATCATTGTTCGGTATCTGGCATACAATGATAGCATCATCAGCAAACTCATAGATATGTGTTGGACGAAATTTGGCTGCACAGTCATAAGTCCCTTGGCAGTGCTCCAAAAGCCTGTGATTTCAAATAAACCTGTTGGACTATATCTGTCATGTGACTTTTGACATAAGTGTACAGGGAGTAGAGTAGGGGGCTGAGTACACATCCTTGCGGGGCGCCAACGTTGAGGATTATCATGGAGGAGGTGCTGTTGTCGATCTTCACGGATTGCCGTCTATGGGCCAGGAAGCTGAGGATCCAGTTGCAGAAGGCGGAGCCAAGGCTTTGTTCTCGGAGTTTGGGGATTAGTTTGGTTGGAATTATAGTGTTGAAGATGGAGCCTTCTTGCTATTTCATTCCCCAATTACTTGCTGACAATATGCAGTTGTTCTAAGAGTACAGACATGGTTGTGTGAGACAGATTCTTTGTTGGCAAACCCTCAGGATTGAGGAAACATTGCTTCCTCTCCAGGAGGGTGTTTTATTTTTCTCTCTTTATTCACGGGATGAGGGTGTTGCTGGCTAGGCAGCATTTATTGCCCATCCCTAAATGCCCAGTTTCCTTTCATAAAGGACATTAGTGAATCAGATGGGTTTTTCCCGACAACCGGCAATGGATTCACGGTCATCATCAGATTCTTAATTCCAGATATTTTATTGAATTCAGATTCCACCATCTGCCGTGGTGGGATTCGAACCCGGGTCCCCGAATGTTATCTGGGTCTCTGGATTAACAGTCCAGCAATAATATCACTAGGCCATCGCCTCCCCATATGCTGGATCGTGGCTGAATAGATCAATCCTAGAGCCGCAATCTCGGCCATGGGGAAGGTGGGGGGAGCAGTAGGGGTTTGAGGCGGTGGGTGGGTGGGATGCTCTAGATTCTTCACACTCTTTCACTGCTCCATGTGCTCCACTTGGTGGCCTCAAACTGGTTGGTACCTTTGCGATGCTTCTTCACCAGTTTGACAGCAAGTGATTTCCACATGTTGGTGGGGATGTTGCATCTGGAGGATTTCAGAGTGTCCTTGTCAGGTTACCTCTACCCTCCTGGTGATTACTTACCATTGTGGAGTACGGAGTGGAGCACGTTTGGGGAGTCTTGTGTCGGAATGCGGATAATGTGGCACACCCATTGCAATTGGTCGAGTGTAACTAATGCCTCTAATAAGTAAGTAATAATGTTGTCTTCCTTTCCAATTGGTGAGGATTTTAGGTATGATCATAAATTAACCATTTCCCATCCATGTGCAATGACAGGTTCATTCATTAACTGCGTACCTCAGCTTTCTATGCATTCTGAGTCACACACTCTATTGGAATCTGAGGAGATGAGAAATGTTAGAGAGGGGGCAGAGGAGATTTACATGGAGCTACTTTGGGCTAGAGGCTTTGAACTATGAGGAATGGCTGTGTAACCTGGGGCTGTCTTGCTTGGCGTAGCAGAGATTGAGAAGGGATTTTTTAAAGTAGAATCATAGAATCCCTACAGTGTGGAAACAGGCCATTCACCCCAACAGGTCCATACTGGCCCTCTGAAGAGCATCCCACCCTGACCCAACCCCGTACCCTATCTCTGTAACCCTGCATTTCCCGTAGCTCATCCACCTAGCCTGCAAATCCCTGGACACTACAGGCAATTTAGTGTGGCAAATCCACTTAACCTGCACATCTTTGGACTGTAGGAGGAAACTGGAACACCAGGAGGAAACCCGCGCAGACTTCTGATGTGGAGATGCCGGTGTTGGACTGGGATGGACAAAGTCAGAATCAGACAAGACCAGGTTAGAGTCCAACAGATTGATTTAAAATCACAAGCTTTCTGAGTGCTGCTTCTTTGTCTCCTGACTGTAATTTAAAATCAACCTGTTGGGCTACTATGACCTGATGTCCTGTAACTTCAAACTCTACACAGACAGTCACCTGAGGGTGGAATCGAACTCTGGCTCTGTGAGGCAGCAGTTCTAACCACTGTGCCATCTGATGGAGGTGTACACGATTATGAGAAGCATAGAGAGGTCAGATAGGACGGCACCTTTCCCATTAGTAGAGGAGTCAATGACCACAAGGCATAGATTTGAGGAAGATGGTAGAATACTCAGAGAAGCGCTGAGGAAAGGATTTTTCACTCAGAGAGTGGTAGGAGTCTGGAACTCCCTTCCTGAAAGGGCACTTAGACTCAGAGTCATAGAGAAGCAGAGCACGGAAACAGACCCTTTAGTCCACCCTGTCCATGCCGACTAGGTATCCTAAATAAATCTAGTCCCATTCACCAGCATTTTGCCCATATCCCTCTGAACCCTTCCTATTCATATACCCATCCAGAAGCTTTTTGAATGTTGTAATTGTACCAGCCTCCACCACTTCCTCTGGCAGCTCACTCCATACATATGCACCACTCTCTGTGAAAAAGTTGTCCCTTATATCCCTTTTAAATCTTTCCCCTCTCACCTTAACCCTATGCCCTCTAGTTTTGGACTCCCCTACCATGGGAAAAATACCTTGGCTATTCATCCTATCCATGCACCTTAAGTGATTTTATAAACCTCTATAAATCACTCCTCAGCCTCCGATGCTCCAGGGAAAATAGCTCCAGTTTATTCACCCTCTCCCTATAGCTCAAACCCTCTAACCCTGGCAACATCCTGAAATTCTTGTAACATTTAAGCAGTATTTAGATATCTGTCTGTATTGCCATAGCACCCCAGGGCTATGGGCCCAAAGGCAGAAAATGGGATTGGTTTGGTTAGGTCTTTGTTGACCAGCACAGACACACTGGGTTGAATGGCCTCCTTCTGTGTTGTAAACATCTAAGAGTTAGATAGATCTTCTGCAACTAATGACCTGCAAATTAGGTGCTGTCTTGTTTGATATAGCTATATATCAAACTGGATGTTATGAAATTTTAAATCAGTGTGTTTATAAAACTACAAGTTTCTGCACTATTTAAGATCATTGGCTAAGATCATGTATTTACTGCTTTATGAATTCCTTATAGAAACTAAAAGAAATTAGAATGATAAATATGGAAGGCTATGTAGTTCAGTCTAATACTATTATGGTTATGCTGCAGCTCTATAAAACTCTGGTTAGACCACACTTGAAATATTGTGTTCAGTTCTGGTCACCTCATTATAAGAAAGATGTGAAAGCTTTAGAGAGGCAGCAGAGGAGATTTACCAGGATGCTGCCTGGACTGGAGGGCAGGTCTTATGAGGAAAGGTTGATGGAGCTAGGGCTTTTTTCATTGGAGAGAAGAAGGATGAGAGATGACTTGATAGAGGTTTACAAGATGATGAGAGGCATAGATAGAGTGGATAGTCAGAGACTTTTTCCCAGGGCGGAAATGACTATTACGAGGGGGCATAATTTTAAGGTGATTGGAGGAAGGTATAGGGGAGATGTCAGAGGTAGGTTCTTCACACAGAGAGAGTGGTGGGTGTGTGGAATGTGCTGCCAGCAGTTGTAGTGGAGTCAGATACGTTAGAGACTTTTAAGCGACTCTTGGATATGCACATGGAGGATAGTAAAATGTGGGGTATGCAGGGTAGATTGATCTTAGTAGGATAATAAGTCGGCACAACATCGTAGGCCGAAGGGCCTGTACTGTTCTATGTTCTATGTTGTACAAATAACACATTTGAGACTAATAATGCATATTATATTCTGGAAATAGAATCTTTTCTTTGTTCTGGTCAGCAGCAGTACCATTATGTGTGGATAGATGAAAGCTGACATTGTGGGGTGGCACAGTGGCACAGTGGTTAGCACTGGTGCCTCACATCGCCAGGGACCCGGGTTCGATTCCAGCCTTGGGTGACTGTTTGTGTGGAGTTTGCACATTCTCCCCTTGATTGCGTGGGTTTCCTCTGGGTGCTCCGGTTTCCTCCCACAGTCCAAAGATGCTCAGGCTAGGTGGATTGGCCACGCTAAATTGCCCGTAGTGTTCAGGGAGGTGTAGATTAGGTGGGTTATAGGGGGATGTGTCTGGGTGGGATGCTTTGAGGTTCGGTGTGGACTTGTGAGGCCGAAGGGCCTGTAGGGATTCTATGATTCTATAAAATAGAGCATTTTTCAAAGCTGAGCTTAGTAAGTAAGAACTCAAAGTAGAAATGTTCAAGAGAACAATGAAATGCACACCAGTGACATCAAGAAACTTGTGAGTGAGTTACTTTCAATTGAAGCTGTGGAACAAAGAATTCTCACTGTAGAAAGAAACTTGACTTGTAGTTGTTGAATGGAGCCTATCCACATTTGCAGAATAAGGCACGTTTATAGTGGAAACCAGCAGGTCAAAATCAATCTGCTATCTCATTAGTCTCCCCTGACTCTACAGGTTCTCTCTTGTCCAAACTGTGCAAGGTTACAAGTGCAAAAGGAGAGAATCTTATCAAATGATTCTGCAATGCTTACCGGTAAATGCCCAAGCAATGAAGAAACACTGTCGGAGATATAAATAATGTTTCCATCAGCGCTGAGTGCAATGAGAAACCCGTCTAAAGCCTAAATGAAACAAAATAAAAATACAAGTGCTAAAACACCACTCAAGTGACTTTTACATTTCTTTCTCCTTTCGAGCAAGTGAGGTAAATTTAAGAACATGACACCATCAAAGTCAGAATGGATGAGCAGTACATGCCAAAGAAATAGGTCAATTATACCTTGGTTTCTATGCCAAAGTGACAACTTATACATGATCAGCCAACTGTGTGACATGCAAAAAAGTGGCTTGTCATGTTTAAAAGTCTCCTAACTAAGCAACTGACAGATCTACCCATACAGAACTTCCTTGCCCCTCACTCATTCACAGTAATGCAGGTTAATTATTGAAATAATGACTGGGAAAAAGTCTCTGACTATCCACTCTATCTATGCCTCTCATCATCTTGTAAACCTCTATCAAGATCCTCTCCACCTATCTTCTCCTCTATCCATCTTCTATCCGCCTTCCCCTCTCTCCCTATTTATTTCAGAACCCCCTTCCCCTCCCCCATTTCTGAAGAAGGGTCTAAGCCCGAAACACCAGCCTTCCTGCTCCTCTGATGCTGCTTGGCCTGCTGTGTTCATCCAGCTCTACACCTTGTCTATATTAGTTTTAGGTTGGCAGAGGCAAGGGTTAGGGACCCTGATGTGTGTATAGAGGGTTTGCTGCAGTTTAAGCAGCTAAAACCATGCAAATGTATGAACACTAATAAGTTCCAAAGATAGTAGGAACTGCAGATGCTGGAGAATCCGAGACAACAAGGTGCAGGGCTGGATGAACACAGCAGGCCAAGCAGCATCATAGGAGCAGAGAGGCTGACGTTTCGGGCCTAGACCCTTCATCAGAAAAGGGGGAGGGAAAGGGGGTTTTGAAATAAATAGGGAGAGAGTGGGAGGCGGATAGAAGAGGGATAGAGGAGAGGATAGGTGGAGAGGAAACAAACAGGTCGAAGCCAGCAGCTCCAGAGGAGACAGCAGCACCCAGCCCTGCCGAGTCTTCACCATCCCCCCAGACCTACCCCTTACTGAGGACGAACGGTCAGTCCTCAGTAAAGGGCTCACCTTTGTCCCCCTCCACCCACAGATCAACGAATACCGCTCACGCTTGGACATAGAGCAGTTTTTCTGCCGCCTCCGCCTCCACGCTTACTTCTTCAACCGTGAACCTAACCCTCCCTCTACTGACCCCTTCTCCCGCTTCCAACACACCCCCTCCTCCTGGACACCACCCCAAGGCCTCCTACCCTCCCTCGACCTCTTCATCTCCAACTGCCGTCGAGACATCAATCGCCTCAACCTCTCCACCCCTCTCACCCACTCCAACCTCTCCCCCGCAGAACGTGCAGCCCTCCGCTCCCTCCGCTCCAATCCCAACTTCACCATAAAACCCGCGGACAAGGGAGGCGCAGTTGTAGTATCGCGCACTGACCTCTACATCGCCGAGGCCGGACGCCAACTCTCCGACACCTCCTCCTACCACCCCCTTGATCATGACCCCACCCCTGAGCACCAAACCATCATCTCGCAAACCATCCACAACCTCATCACCTCAGGTGACCTCCCACCCACAGCCTCCAACCTCATCGTTCCCCAACCTCGCACTGCCCACTTCTATCTCCTTCCCAAAATCCACAAACCTGAATGCCCTGGTCGACCCATTGTCTCCGCCTGCTCCTGCCCCACCGAACTGATCTCCAACTATCTAGACTCCATTTTCTCCCCCTTGGTCCAGGAACTCCCTACCTATGTCCGTGACACCACCCACGCCCTCCACCTCCTCCAGAACTTCCAATTCCCCGGTCCCCAACACCTCATCTTTACCATGGACGTCCAGTCCCTCTACACCTGCATTCCCCATGCAGATGGCCTTAAGGCCCTCCGCTTCTTCCTGTCCCGCAGGCCCGACCAGTCCCCCTCCACTGATACCCTCATCCGCTTAGCCGAACTCGTCCTCACACTCAACAACTTCTCTTTCAATTCCTCCCACTTCCTACAGACAAAGGGGGTAGCCATGGGTACCCGCATGGGCCCAAGCTACGCCTGCCTCTTTGTAGGTTACGTGGAACAATCCCTCTTCCGTACCTACACC